CTGTGTTACTTGGGCAAAATCCTGTAGGATCAATAATTCTGGAAAGAAAGATGTCTGATAATACACATGTGTCCTAGACAAACAGACTTATGCCTGGTAATCTTGGAGTCTGGATAGCAAAAGCATTTACAATAAAATCATGTTGAAAGCAATCATATGCTCTTACATTTAGGTATGGTTATTCAGTTTTCTTTGTTTGAAGTTTCTGTTTATTTTTGTTGTTAGACGGAAGGAAAAATCTTGAATACAGATTATTATTATGCCTAATAATTTGGAATATCTCCCTTTCTCTTTCTAGTTTCAGAAACAAATTGAAGCCTTAAATCAAAAATGGCATTCAGATTTTTAAAGATGATTTCTCTGCATGGGAAAGAATAATGTATCATCTAGTATTTTAACAAAATGTTGAATTCCTGTATTTTTTCTTTTATCATGGAAAATAGCACTTCAATTTTTAATTTTTACTTCCTAATTTGATAACTAATTTTAGCTTATTTTCCACATGAAAGAATGTTCTTTCATCTTATTATGTCTGAAATAAATTTCTTTGCAAGCCTAGGGTATCTCATGGCCTTTTCTGCTTGTCTTCCACATACTGTGGAAATAACCCTGAGAATTAGTAATTTCTACTTACCATTTGTTTGGATGCTCATCACATAAGTGTTTGGTCTCTTGCCTTATGGTGAGCTATGTGTTCAGAACAGGAGGTGCAGTTCCAGCTGTGAAGGGGTAGGTAGCAGTTGCTGTGGCTGGGTTAAATAGGGAAAGCAATCACACAGGATGTTAAGATCAGCCCTGAAGAGGAGGAAGCGGGCAGCAACAAAAGCTGTGGATTGTCTGTTTTGGAGCAAGTGGTAGGGAGGGCATGACCTAAAGAGGAAAGCATCACAGATGTTTCCTGTTGCGTTTGGACATTCGTGAGAGGGTCATTGGATGGCAGGTTTCTTGGAGTGTAATATTATTCAGGAGAATTTGTTGGGTTTGCATGGCAAGGCTTTGGCATGAGAAGGGCTACAGACATGGCTTCTGTGAGAAGCTGCCAGAAGCATCTCCATGTCTAACAGAGCCAAGGCCAGCTGGCTCCAAGATGGACCTGCAGTTGGCCAAGCCCATCGGCCATGGTGGTAGAGCCTTTGGGATAACAGATTTAAGAAGGGGGAAAAACTTCTGAGTGAGAGAAGCAACTACAGACACCAAGGCCAGTAACAAAGGAGGGGAAGGTGTTGCTCCAGGTACTGGAGCAAGGATTTCCCTGGAGCCTGCGGTGCAGCCCATGGTGAAGTAGGATGTCCTACAGCCCATGGAGGCCCCTGGTGAGCAGAGATCCAGAGCCTGTGTAGGACCCCGCCAGAACAGATGGATGCCTCAAAGAGGCTGTGACCCAGGGGACACTTGGGCTGAAATATTTGCTGACAGGACTTGTGACCCTGTGAAAGACCTGTGCTGGATCAGTTAATGCAGGACTGTTTGCCATGCTGGATGAGGTGAAGAGAGCAAGGAGCATGGAGTGGCAGAGACAATGTGTCATGAGGCTCTAACTCCCTGTAACTGTCCCCCTGTGCTGCTCTGGAGAAGGAGGTAGTGAAACTGGGAATGAAGTTAAGCCTGGGAATAAGGGATGGTGGAGGAAAAGTAAGATTTGGTTTTATTTTCTCGTTGCCTTAATCTGCTAGGTACTAATTGCACTGATTTCCCTGAGTCCAATCTGTTTTACCTGTGGTAGTAATTGGGTGACCTCCCTGTCCTTATCTTGACTCCCCAGACCTTTGGTTGTTCAGCCAAGGAGGGGAATCAGTGGGCACTGGGTAACCAGCCAAAGTCAATCCACTACAAGGCAATACCTGAGAGTTTCTGACAGGCTAAAAGGTCTGAATTGTCTTGATGCTTCAGGAGCAGCTGTTAATTGGGAACACTTGTCATCTGCTTGTTCTCCTGAAGCAGAAGATGGAGAAAGAAGCAAACTATGCATTTGAGCTGGTGTCTTCCTAGGATGAGGTTTCCTCTTACTGAACATTTTGCAGTTAAGTAAATGAAGACCTAAGAATGCTAGATATTTGCACACATGTAATTCCTTTTAATACATATAGTCCTGGTGGTTCTTTCAGGTCTTTTAGTGTACATCTGTCATAAAGTTGTATGTTTGAAGTTTCAGTGCTTTTCTGAGAATGTGCAGTTGTTTTGTGATATTATGAGAAGAAGATATAGGTGAAGAGGAGTTATCAAATCCAAAACGAGAGTGGAAAGAGAAATAGGTTAATATTTGGTGAGGAGACAGGGGCAAATGCCCTTCATTGTTGTTACAAGTAGAGAACTATTACTTTGACCTGTCTGTATTTGCAAATGGGAAGGATGGAGAATTGTAAGGTGCTCAAATAACCCCATGTAAGAGGGAAGTCATTCAAAATTAGGCAAATTATTTCACCTTGTAAAAGGAAGGTTAGAAACTTCCCTTTCTCAAAGTCAAAGCTTTTTATTCTGAACTTGAAACAAGCTTAGAGTGCTAGTAAGTCAAGCATTTTACCTCTCCTCTCCTGGGAAAATGCAAAAACCAGACCCACCAGTAAGACAGAATGATGCTATAACTGCATGACTTAGTGGCTGTCCTGTTGTTGGTTAATGTGTTTAATGAGTTTCATCTTGTATGGTTTGGTGTTTTTGTGTCAGCTCCTCCTTGATTTACTCTCTGTAGAACAGCTACACTTCAGGTCTTCTGAAATCTTTTGTCAAGGTCTTTAAAAAAAATTGGCAAACATATAAAAACAAAGTTCAGTTATTTCAATAATATATGTAATTTCCTTATGCGTTCTGCCATTGAGTTGATCTGTCACTTTACAATATGGAAGGTTCTTCATCTTTGTTCTGGGCATTCAGCCCCTTAAACTGTGTGGTTATGATCAGTGTTTTTAAAACAGTAAAAGTTTACCAAGTTCTAGTACTTTGAATCCTACATAGAAGTTCCAGTTCCAGATGTCTTCTGCTGTGCCAGGTCCGTACAGCAGCTGCTGGTATCACAACTATAACATGAAACTAGGTAGCAAGGGAAAGATGAATCAACAGGCTGCTGTAAAGCTGTCTTAGGTCAGCTAGAAAACAGTAAGACATGGACCAACACCTTGTTTTGGATAAAGGTAGAATCAATCTTTGATTTTATTGAAATTTCACCTAATCTGGGAAGAATACAGCTGACAAAGCCTGTAAACTTTTGGGCTGGGTGATAGCTGCAAACATTCAGTTAATTTTCCAAATGTTTTCTAAACTCCCTGATCAGTTTGTCTTATGCTCCTGTCTAATCTGCAAAAGAATAGAGTCCTTCATTAAGGGGGAGGGGAAAATTAAAATGTTTGAAGTTTTCAAAATTTTGCTTTTGGTTTTATTTTTTTATGGAAGCAAGTCTGGGATTTGTAAGCTGCCATCCCTCGTCCCACCCGGTCGTCACACCCCCCCCCCCCCCCCCCCGCACAAAAAAAAAATTAGGAAAACTAGTCACTTGGAAATGAAAATAGAAGATTTCTGTCACTGTGAAGTATGAGAGAGTCAGGTTTTCAATTTCACACCCTTATGCAGGATGGGAAAAGGAGAGAAGCAGTTTTCCATACAATTATATTGTTTAGTCTTCCGGGGAGATGGTCATCTTTTTTCTCCTGCCTGTTCCTTCTGTTTGCCTCCTTGTGCTCTTTCCGTGGAAGAGGAATACTTGCATTGCCTGGGATTGATTCTCTGGTTCCCTAAAGCTGCATATTGGAGAGGTCTGTGTCACCTTCTGACAGGTCTTGTTTTCTGCCAAAGGGAATTAAAATTGTCTGTGGCTTTTACTGAAATTTTGGCCTCTGTTTTAAATGTTGATTATTAAAATGTCATGTTAACCTTCAGCAAGGCATTTGGCTAAATTTATGAACTGCAACATCATCGTCTTGTGTAATTCTAGTCTTTTTTTGCAAGAGTGGTTATTTCATCTCTGAGTTCAGTTTCCTTTCTAGCTTTTTAGTGCACTCAACATATATTTTTTAATCAGTCAATTTACAGTAATGTAGGCTGCAGGAAATACACAATATTGAAGATATAATAATGATAATAAAAAATAATGAAGTTTATAATACATTTTTACAGTACAGTAGTGTGGACAAATGGAGCTTGAATCTTTGTTTATTATGACATCTTCAGATATATTTTTCTGAAAACTTTGGGTATCTCAAGTGTAGTCCTGTAAGTTTTTGCAGCAAGTTTTTTGCAAGGTAAGTGAAAGAGGCTTGTCATATGCATATATGATTTCCTACAGACTGCAAAAATGGAGAGAGAAATTTTGAACATACTCTTTTTCTTTGGCTTTAGGATTTTGAAAGCTTGCCAATTTGCTTAAAGAGCAGCCTACTCAAATACTGTTTTTACCTGCTATACAAGCAACCCTTTCATCATCTAGATGGTCCAAACCTAGAAAGACGTTAACTTTCTTCCTGACAGCTTGTATTCATATTGGATATGAAATAAGTACTCTAAGTTGCTTCCTATGCTAATGTCTGTAAACTTAAAATTTACTGCATTTTCTAAAAATAGGTCCTTAGTTTGAGAAATGGGTAATGCCTGTTCTTAAACTGTGATGATACTTTATGTAGGAAGGGAGGAGGGACAGTGTAACTTCCTTGGGCGTCTCAGATCACATACAAAGGCAAGAAAATCTAAGCCTAAATTAATAATGGAGAAGGAAGTAGAATTTTCATACTTTTCCTTACAAAGACTTTCAGAAAGTATGAGTCACTATTAAACCTACTGTGAACCTACTATTTTAAGAGACTATTTTCTCTAACATAGTCTTGACATTTTTACAGGCCTTTGGTAGTCTCAAGCCCTTCGTTTTTGTAGGTGAGTATATGGTATGTTTGGATCAGAACATTAACATCCATTTGTGGTAGTTCTTCACATTTAGTCACTATTTCAATCCATAAGAATTTAACAACTACATAATGATATTTCCTATGACAGCAGATGTTTTTGGACCTTTACAGATCATGAGCCAAGCTGAAGGACAACAGAAGAATCTTGTACAAGCCATTGAATCTCTCCCAAATTCTGGACCTCTTACTGCCTTGGATCAGGACTTGCTACTTTTAAAAGCTACCTCTGCTGCCACCCTGAGCTGCCTTGGAGAATGCCTGAGTCTACTGCAGCAAAGCATGCATCAAGTGGGCCAACAGCATAACAGGACACTGTCATCAGGTGAGCACAAGCTCCCTTGGGTATTGTTTCATGTGCCTTGGGGTGTTTAACTAAGATATGAAGCAGGCAAAATTAACCATTCTCAGAGAGGCAAGTTGGGATGAGCTGCTGTGAGCTTCTGCAGCCTCAAGCACTGTAATTCTTTGCCTAAAAAAAAAAAAGATGCAAGATGTATTGCAGTCAGAAGAGAGAAGAAAAAGAGGTGATCCTGAGTTTTCTCAGAGAAATTGGTCCTGAAGACAACTACACAAAAAAATGGGGCATGGGGAAGAGGTATACATAAACCTATATTGTTAATGGCAGTGTGGAACCAGCTTGGTTGTTTTGGTTTGCTCCCTCTCTATTTTTTTTTAATTTTTTCATAGATTTCAATCTCAATACAGATTTGTTTGATAAAAATAATGCTATGCAGTGCTGCAGTGAAAATAATATTTGTAGTTCTCTGCATGGAAGGATGCTGTTGAGGTGGATTTATTTTGGTCTGTGTTTTTCTTTGAGTCTGGAAAGAGTTCTCCATACTTAAAAAAAAAAAAAAAGTGGCAAGTTTTATGAGCCTAAAATGTCAATAGGATACTACAGTGAGCTCTGCAGGCATGAGCCTCTCAGTCCCCATTTATGTCAGTTTTTCCACTTCACCCATTTCTGGATCTGTCCATAATATTGGAAGTTGGACCTTGAGCTTTCTGGGAGGGTGGTTAGCATTTTCCCATCCGTAAACTGCACTGCCAAGTTTTGAGAACAAGAGCAAGTATTGATGTAAGAGAAGCAGCAGCAGCAGAACTCTGGATACAGGGTGGCTTTTTGTGTTTTCTTCGGGTGCTTCCGAAACAATCCCCCTCAACCTGCCCTCACTTGGAGTAGGTTCACTACAGGGCAGGACATGCCCTCAAGGCTGCTGAGATGGTGGGACAGCCTCTGAAGCATTCCCATTGTGAGGAGAATAGAAATGTGAAAGGGTTAGTTGGGAAGCAGGAAAATGATACAAAAGTAGTTCTTGGAAAAAAAAAATTAAAACCTTTTGACACCTGTCCTATGGTACGTGCTGACTTTCCCATATCCAGGTACTGATCAGTTTCATAAAGGAACTTGATTTTTAAAAAATTGCCATTTTGTTGTAGAAAATGCAAACCTCCTTTGTACTTACCTAAGTAGTAATGCTAAAGTGTATTGAATTAAAATATTTGATATAACTTTATTTCAGAAAAGAATGGTTTGAAACAGAGATGAAAAGCAACCTTTGAAGAAAAGTTACTTTCTAGTTTCAAGGTCTCTGAAGGTTGTTTTTCATCTTGATGTGATTTAAGTGAACTGTCAAGAGATAGATGACTTGAGATGCAGGTGTCCTTGACTCTGTGTCCACATAATCTTCTGTTAAATCACTCTTTGTTTTGACTTGATAATGGTTTTTGAGGATCTATGGACAGGAAGAGAGAAAAGCAAGCAAAGCAATAGTAATTGCTTAAGGGGAATATTTTTTTTAAAAAAAAGGAAAGTCATGACTATGAAATACTGAATTGTAAAATCTAATAAGTGTTTTTATTTGTTCTTCCTAAGACTGTAAACTTGCACAAGAATCTATCAGGAATCAAAATTCTGTAGCACTGGTTCACACCAGCATCTTTGGTGTAACTGAGAGCTTGAATGCAGGCAGTTAATTCTTCAGTGTGTGTGTGGGCTTATTCTTTGGTATGGAAGTTAAAAAAAAGAAAAAACACACTAAGAAGGGAACTAAAAGCTGCTGAAATATTTAGTCTCTTCTCCCTGGCTGAAATGATTTTTTTTCCCTAGGCCTTATTATGCAACACAGTTGCCTGAAAGAACCTGGCCTACAAGTCTTGATTACTGATTTTCCTACACACTTAATCTTTTCCAGGCGTACTTTGATAGACTTAATGTTTGTGCTGAGTTGGTAGAGTTTCAGAGTCATCAAAGCTGCATAAGCTCATACCTATTCAGAATAAAGTCTTTAAGTAATCCCCTGGCAAACTAATTCTGAGAGATGATCTAGTTCATTTTGATTGTGTCCTCCAGGTGAATTATTTTAATTTTATACCCAGCAAGTACAACAGAAGATGACCTTTTCTGTCACTGTCAGGTGAAAATGACATTTTTAGTTTAAAAAACCACGTGCTCCTGTGGTAGGAATTCTCAAACACCTTGCTTGTGAGATGTCATGGTCCTGTGCAATTTATTGCTGAATGTTTCCACCCCAGTGCTGGCTCATTACCTGCTGTGTGGTGTAAAGATGCTAGTGGGCATTGTGGGGCAGAATGCACAGATAGAGACAAGATAGGAATTGGATAATTTATTTTCTTGCTTCTAGCCTACAGTTCATGAAAGCAGTCCAGTCCAGGCAGGCAACAGTCTTCCCTGTGTGGAGTGTGAGAAATACTCAACTGCTTAGCTGGGCTAACTTGAACCCACTACCTCTGAGTTTCTTTCCTTCAGCATCCAAAGCTTTCACTATTATGCCTTAAAAGTAGACATCTATCTACTTAATCTGTACCTTTCCTTGTGTCCTTGGGGTCTTTATACCCAATTGTGCAAGTTTTACTGACTTCCCTGGAGGCCTTGCAGTCTTACTGCCTCTAAAGCAAAGACTTAAAAGTGGCTGAGAGTTTCTGACCTAGTACTTATGGAATGCTCTCATGAAGATTATAATAAAATGGTCCCTATTTTAAACAGACACTGACATTTATTGTTTTAGACAAGGAAAAAAAGTGTCTTCTTTCTTTTGATGTAAATACTTTTGTTGCTTTGTTTTCCAGTAATTAGAGTAGAAAGAAATCAGCATTCACTGTAGTGGAATTTTGTCCAGAATCTACAATTATGTAGGTCATGACTTAAAATATTTTTATGGCATCCTTTCTAATGGAATAGTTTAAGGATGACGTGATTTTTCCATTTCATGTTTCTCACGAATTGTCAGTCTTAGACCTCAAGCCTACAAGCAGACATGAAGATTAAACTGAAGTCTTCAATCTTGTCTTGAAGACTAGTCAATGATTTTTTTTTTATTTCTAGTCTGAAGCTTTATGGAAGAGTTTTTGTGATTGTCTGTTTTGGAAGTAAATCAACAAGAACAGTCAGTGAAGCAAAATCCTGTCCGTGTTTCTACTTTTAAGTAAAATTAACATCAAAATAATTTCTAGCTGTCGTTATTAAAGATATTTGCATTGATCACTGGCTAAATGTTTGTATTTTTTTTTCTTTCATTGAAAAATATGCCAGAAAAGGGTATTATTAGCTGAAAGTGTTGGTTACATATAGTGTGAGTTGAGGATAAGAGATTGCACCTTTACCAGCTTCTTTGTGTTTGGGAATTACATTTTTTTGGTAGGACGGTGGAAAATGTCAAGGTCTTTCTTTTTGGCTGGGCATGTCACCACTTAGGTACATCAAAAGTACCTTCTGACAGCCTTGAGTTTATTTGTCATGCAGACAAAGAGAGGGTACCTTTAAAAATAAAAATGTGGAGAAGAAACTTTTGTCTTCATTTTTAACTTTAGAAGTTCTAGTGCTATTTTTTTCCAGCTCTGTGTACAGCCGTTGGCAGAAGAGTATCTCCAGAGCCTGTTGACTGCAATTGTTAGCATTCTTCTCTCCCAGACTGTGAACACAGCAAACTTGAATGTTTGTTCTGATGTAGCTCTACCAGCGTATGTTGTGTTTTAGATCTGTTTTTTTTTTTTTTTTTTTTTTTTAATTCTGGTGTTTTGGCAGACACAATCTTCTCCTGTAGTAGCAGCTTGCACAGATCAATCCATTTTTTAAATCTGCATTTTACTTTGGCCATTCATTTACTGAATAAAGCATCTTCCCAACGGGAATTCGCTCCTATATTTTTCTGTCTCTCCCTTGCCTGCTTTTCCAAACTGTAGAATGTTTCATTTTTCTTAAGACTTTTTTAAAAACAAAAACCAAACTCATCCTTACTGTGGATTTTCTGCAGTTCACTTTAATGTGCAAATGCTGCTGATTTTGGGCCCCATGGAAACAAATGGATCAGATATGGTTCTGGAGTTGGGGGCCGGATATACTTGAGCTTTTTATTCTCTATTGCCTCCTTTTTGGAGAAAGTAAATGGATAGGAAGGACAAAAACTAGGTGCTTTCAATTTGTTGACAAATGACCACTAGAAATTCTCTTGCAGCTGATGACAAGAGAGAAAAATGAGGAGACAAGTAAGTTCTTTTTTTTTGCTTAAATGCATTGGAAAGGGAAGAGTGAGGAAAGAAAACAGGAGTACAAATTCTTTGTTACTGGAGTACTTTACTGAAGTTGGCTTGGTCAGTCAGTTCTCCATTAATTGCACTCTCCCCAGCCTTACTTCTGTCAAGAATAACCAGAACAATTTCCTGTTCCTGAATAATGCATTATTCTTTACATGTTCTTCTTTCATTGGAAAATAACATTATTTTCTGGTCCCCACACAACATTAGCCAATACAATCTCATGTGGAAAGCAGAAATGCAGCTGCCATTTGCTGTTGGTGGTTCAGTCTGCTGTAGAGATTCAGCAGACAGACCAAGCTGTTGCATCCATCCCTGGTAGGGGAAGGAATCCAGGTGTAATATTGGTTTCTCCTCAAGTCCTACCACTGCACTGTTAAGGGATATTTGCTAGAGTATATTTACTCATGACATATTTAAAATATGTCATGAAAGTGTTTTAAGTAGATGTTTACAATTGTGCCAGGGAAAAAATATAGGGTGTTTTTTGTAGTCTCCCAGTCAAGACCACAGAAGACTTAAAATTAGAGAGGTTTTTGTTATAGAATTGAGATAGGTGTTAAGCATATTTCATGCATCATTTATCATGCAAAAGTGAGTTTGAAGGTACATCAGGTAGCCAGAAGATCGAAAAAGAAAATGATCAACGTTGCTTAACTGTAAACCTGTAAAATCTCCAGTAAACCTTCTGTTGAGAGAGAACTCCCCCCACTCCGGCAGTGTGCACCTGTAGAAGGGAATTATGTTTCTCCTGAGGGCATTTGTGTGATACAACCTACTGTGCCCTCTGAAACAGATGTTTGTGAACTGCAGCACTGCTATAGGGAAAGGATAAATGGTTGTGTCTGGATGCCGTGCTCTGCTTGGGTACAAGTGTTCTCATGTGCCTTGTTGCACTTGTCTGCTGCGCGTTCATCACAGTGGAAGCTGCTGTTGAGGGGAAGTGGGAAGGAAGCTAATTTTTGGGTATGTTCTATAAGAACTCTTGTTTTGTATATACATATGCTCTGAACTTTTAGAGGAATCAGACTTGGGTTTTCACTCCTGGAACTACAGAACCAACACCATGTAGGTAGAAGAGATCCGGCTGATTTTACTAGTTGTGTATTTGGTATGTCCTTTCTAATTTTTGCATCGTTTACTACAGAAACAGATGTTTTGTTTTAATTAGTGTAGTGCTTTGCATAGTCTTAAAGCAAGTAGTAAAGTAGTTATGTAGCAAGTAGTAAAGTAGTTATGTAGTTGTCAATACTTCTATATAATTTGTGACTGCCTTTCTGGAGAATTCCTTTAGAGCTCTGAAATGTATCAAAATAGATTAGAATTTACCTTTCTGTCCCAAACCAATGACAGCAGTTTTTTCTTATCTAACTCAGAAGATAAACTTTCTCATATCATGCTTAATTTTCATAGATATATTTTTAAAGTCTTTATAAGAACAGGGATTGAACTAGTGATAGAAATTTTTGAGTCCCATAAAGGGCAAAGATGGCAACTCTAATAGAGTGGATCAAATGATTTACTGATGGCAGCTCAGTCTGTGGAGAGTAAATTCCAGTAAAACAACTGGATTATATATGGCATAGACAACAGCTATACCTGTACTATTTTGTGATAAGAGTAATTTGTCCTAGTGCAGATGAGAACATTTTGGGTGTATTGAAAAAGTGAAGAAACCCCTGAAAAACTGTCCTGAAAATTTTGGAAAATTCATAATATGAGTAAAGTAGGAGCCATATTGTTGTGGCCTTTCACTTTCTTCATAGAGATTGTATTCTAGTCTGAGTTAATTTTAAGATAATTTCTGATAAGTTCTCTTATTAGAGATTACTTCTGCCTGAAATGTGCGCTGCTGTATTAGATATATGGCAAGTTCCTGGGGATAATATGGGAATGCTGACATCTCAGAGTAAGATTTGTAGATTAAAGATCATCACAGGTTCCCTGATGGCACTTTGAAACTAGGTGGGGATTTCTTTTCAATTTGTTCAGAGAGATACTGTTTATTTGTTTAGATTTCTGTGATGTGTGATCTTTTCCTGCATATTTCTCTTTGGCAAAGTACTCAAATTCCAGATGCACAGTTTAACGAAACAATTTTTCTTATATGCAAAGTGCTGAGGAAATGAATATGCTTTAATATAATTTGGACTGTAACTCTTGGCATCCTGTTGGTGTTGGCTTGGTCATAATGTATTTTTAAGGTCTGTTTAAAATTTGATCAGGCTGACAAGATTTGTTGTTTTGTGAGGGTAGCATTGCTCTTGATACAGGAGAGAAAACATGCTTGCCTAGATCTAACAGTTTCTATTTCTCTTGGAGACTCTAAAATGTTCAGAGAAATACAAAGACCTTTTTACAGTGTGTTTTCACTGAAGAAGAAAAGCAGTATAGTGCTTTTAAAAACATGTTTGTGATGATGAAGTAAATGTTCACACTTTAAAATTTCCCCTGAAGTGAGGTACTTCTTCATGTGGGAGCTTTTTATTGTGGTTATTTACATAAACTAGATTTTAAAAAAATCAAAAATAACTGTTTACAGTGATGGCCAAATAGATTGTTTGTGCAGAGAGAAAATGGATAGCCCAAGGAAATTATGGGATGACATATTTTTAAAGATTGGCATAAAGAGAAGTCAGTTCAATTTTTTTTTTAGTGTCTCTGTAATAGGAAAATAGCAACAGTAATCCATTATTCAGCTTCTTTGACAGAGAGAAACAGAAAACTAGATTGAGATCTGTTATTGCAAAATAATGAAGAGTGAGAAATAATTTGACAGCAGAGCCACAGAAATGTTCTTCCTTTGGCAAGATGAATTTTGTGTAATTGTATGAAATACACATTTTAAAAAAGAAAAAAAAGCTGGATTTTTCCCCTGTTGGTTACTCAGATCTTTGAAGATAATTTTTTTTTAAACTACTTGCTAATGTTTTCCTCACGATTTCTTCAGCAAAGGGTGGCGCCACAAAAGCATCCTAAGCAAAGTAGATCTGAACTCCTGCCGTGTCTTCATAACTTAGTGCCATTTTAGATGAGAGGAATGTTCCGTAACTGTTCTGTCTCTAGCATTTGGTAAGAATTCAGTCAGCTTTGGGATTTGTGGCCCATTTTTTAGTAATGGAAGTGCTACTGTAATGCTGTGTAGCATAGCCTCTCCAGGTCTAACCATTTACTTCACTTAGGAGGCAGTCTCTGGTAACCCTGGTGATATGGAGAGGAGAAAGTGCACATTCTTTAATGTACTTTGTGTTGCTCTGCATCGTCTTAAAAATTTGTCAGTGGTGAGAGGAAATCCTCCCTGTGGCACTAATTGTATATTCATATATAAATTATGGTAATGAGTGAAGAGCTGTGATTTTCTTACCCATATCTCTGTGTTTTAGAGCAGTGTGCAATTAATAGCTGAAATTTTAAGTCCTGTGCTGAGGGCTAGTAATTTGTCTGTTGAGACTATGTTTTAGAGCACTTAGGGATGAACAACTGTGCACTTGCCTTAGCTGATTGTACTTTCTGTCATGGCATCCTTAAATACAGAACCATCCAGGAAATCAAGTGCCCCCAGAAATAAGGGTTGTTCTGATGCCAAGTTTCGTTTGATTCATATTTAATGTGTATCTTTCTAATGAGACCTCTTTTAAACTGTGATCTTGGTACCAGTAAAGCATTTTAGAAAAAACTTTCAGTAGTACAGACAGAAATAAAATACAGCTGCTAGGCTTAAAACTTTGATTTCAGGCAGAAGAAATGGAGGGTTTACTTGAATGACTTCATAGCTATGAAAATAGTGGGTAGAGAATTCTTGCTTAATTTCCAAGGTATGCCAGATAGAATTATACAGTCTGGTGGTAGGGGTAACATTTATTGACTTAAAAAATCATAAAAAAGCTTGCCTATAAGATGCTTACTTTGGTTATTTAGGGTGTTTCTTGCTTCCAAAGGCAAGGATATCATTTGAGATAATGCATAAGCTAGTTCAGAAAGTACAAGATAATTTTTTTACTGAAGTAAAGCTGTACATGGAAGCAGAGAAGAGATAAAATTCATTTAGATCAGTAGAATGGTGAGGTGAATGGAGGAAATCTGTAATCTTTCTCTCGTAAGCTGATACCTATTTTCTGCTTCAGATGGTATCCTGGGATGGCCTGGGCCCAAGTCACACTCCACAGAGGAACTGAAAAATGGTGCCCTCAGCTCCTTATCATCTGCTAGTGCCAACATTACGTGGGCAAGTACCATAGTACCATCTGCAGCCCAGGATGCACAGGCACTACAGCCAAACACTGAGGTAAGCGTGCTTGGTCTCTGTAGAGACCTCTGTTGGTTAGATACAGACCATGTGTGATGGTGGATACTTTCATTGATAAATTATTGTATTTTGTCTTGATAATGTACTCTTTGTTTGAAGTTACATGTGAAAATGATAAGTTTCATGCAAAAATGCACTCCAGAAACTGGAAAAATATGTTAATGATATTGTTCTGTGCTTTTACTTCTCTGAGGTGCGTGGGTAAGCAAACTTTGGCAAGTGTACAGTTTCTTTCCTAATCTTAAAAACAATCAACAGACTGTCAGTACATGTTTCTACCCTCTGATGCAAATAAAAGCTATTTTTTTATTTTTCATTCTGGTTTGAGATAAACAGGAGACACTACTTGCTTGCTACTTGCTCTTCTGTGTTGCTGTTTCCTCTTGGGCATCTCTTGAGTATAGCTGACTGTTCTTTGATTTGAAAAATGATGTTATTTCCTGATCCCTTTTCCTGTTAAGTGATTATGGGCAGAACTTGTTCACATCATCCTGCATCAACCAGCTGATTTGTGCTTTTGTGGCATTTGCTTGGTAAAGGGCAATTCTGAAACATCCACTCTTTGAGGAAACTCACAGCTGCGTATCAGACATCTGATGCACTGAAAATCTCTCATCATGACAAACTTCTCCAGTTTCTACTGTCTGCTTCAGTAACCAGTCCTGCCCACAAGGAAAACACTTCACTCTGAGACCGTAGAGATTATAGGGCACCTGGAGCATGTGAGACCTGGAGAACTGAAACAAAGTTTTTGAAAGAACTGAAGAAACTAGTGAATGCTCTGGGCAATTGGAATGGATTAAATTAAATTAAATTACATCGCTTTTAACAAAATATGTAATGGCTGGAGACATCAATAAAGCTGTTTTTCCAGTTCTTTTGTAGTATGTTGAATTGAATGTAGTTCAAAATAATTCACAGATAAACCAGGTTTTTTTTTAACATGTTCCTTTGGTCCTCTGTCCTTAGAAAAGCATTTTGAGTTCTGTTACTCCTAGTGTCCATTTACCAAAATGTTTAAATTACCTGTAATTAGTTTTTATTAGGAAGCTGTGTAATTTCTTTTTTCAGATAAGCCAAGTGTATTTTTTACAATGTGTTTTTAAGACAAGAGGCTATTTAAGAGTATTGTTTTGGGAGTTACTACTTACTGAACCACTGAAATCTGTTTCATTAGGTTTTTTTTAGTTTTTGTTTTTATTCGTTTTTTTCTTGATCATCCACTAAAGCCAAATGGGATTTGGAAGCATGAACTTTGCAGCAAGCACATAAAGAGCAGCAGCTGATTTTACTCACATTAAGTTATCATTTTGCAGTTGAGTTGAGCCATTTATGACATGTTTTAAATGACAATATTTTTTTATGAGTCTAATCCCTTCCTGTTCATTTGCTGATGAGAGACACTGAGTTGTGTGCGTGGCTGGAGGTACTGCTTTGCTTGTGGAACTCATGATTTATTGAGCAGGGAGTACCCTTGAAGAGGAGAATAGAAACAAGGAAGTGTAGCACTGTTTCTAGTACAGAATCCTCAGTGCTTTGTGGGCAGTCTTCCTGAAATCAGCAACCTGCATTTGGAGGCCCTGAGGCATTCGCCATTAAAAAAGAAGAAAAAGAGCTGGGGGCAGAAAGAGAGTAAGATTTTTAATTTACAAAAAGGTCAGCTCAAAATGGTATTTTTGGTAGAAGGATTAAGTAGAAGTTTGTGGATTGGTGGAGCAACAAGAAACAGCTGGAATCAGACATGCAATTTTTGTTAATGTAGTAGTACACTTTAATGAGCAGAAATTTGGTTTTGCTCCAAGGAAGTAGCTTAAACCAGGATTCATTCCTGGAAGTTCTTCAGAAACCTGTGTCTTCTCTTACACAGAGTCTGTGTGTGTGGTGCTGAGATGGATACTGTTGGGTCTGAATTGGAAGGTTTTTTTTAAATGTAGCTGATACACTTTTCAGTTTTAATCATTTTGATAAACTTTTTTCTGAGAAACTTAATAGTTACCCTGGTAAGAATGTTATCTGAGCCAGGTAGTCACTCAGGAGATGATATCTGACCTGGCCAAAGTTGTCAAATATGTTTGATTTGCCACAATTTAACAGTTCTGTGTGCAAGATGTAATCATATTTTTAAATATATTGTGGCCTTGTGTGTCCAAGGCAAGTGCCTAGATCTGGCACTGAGTAGACACTTTATTTCCAAAGGTATAAAAGCACTGAGTGTGCTAATTACTTAGCATGTAAAAAAATATATAAAAGCAAATTAAAATCATAACTTGTTTATAGTCCAGATACTTTGTTGTTAGTAACATTAGCAGAGAATGAGAAAATGCTTCTACATGTCATTAGCTGGCAATTTGTTGACACCGAATGCCCTGATTTCTTTTTTTTTTTTTTTTTAATTTATCTGATAGCTTCTTTTAGAAGAAAAGAGGAATCCACAAGTGTCATTCAAATGAAGCTTATTTGTCTTAATGCTATTCTTTTTAAGAAAACCCAACTAGGCACTAGACAATCTTGGTTTCTTGAAGAAACTGCTGGGGTATTAATGGGGCTCAACTTTCCAAATATACCTGCCAGAAGAAATAAGCCTTGCTTTTGCAGAAGTTATGGGAGTGCTAGCTCCTATATCAGTGCTATCAAAATTAATTCCACTCTCTTCTTTGACTGGTCTAGATTTTTATTAAAAAAAAAAATCTGTAATTTCATGGTATAATCTCTATCTCTTAGTCAGAAGCTATACCCCAAAGGAATGGGAAAGAGCTTTCTGACTAACTGTGTTATATAGTAGATGGACCAACCAAATAAATTGTGAATTGACCTCTCGTCTGAAACTGAAAATGCCATTAAATGGCTAACCTTGAGGAGCAGCAGACTCAGCTGCTTATATTATGGAGTGTTACTTATAAGGCAAAGGTAATTTTAGGAACGTGGATCAGCAGTGATTTCAAGAAGAGAACAGAGATGTTGTGTTGGGGCAGAGGGGGTTGTGGGTGCCTGCTGAGGAATCTCTCCCATCCAGCTGCCTGCCAGTGGCAGCAGTTTCCTGGCAGCATGAGCGGGTGGCTGAGTGTGTTTAGTGATAACTGTGCTGATTCTCAGCACAACATGCAGACACTTGGCAGCTGTGCGGCAAGCAGCGTCATTAAAATACCAGGGACAGCATTTGGTATGTTTATGAAGAAGTGTGTGGATCTTTACAATTCTCTGGAACAACAAGGTTCATCTAATGCAATTTTCTTTGAGTACTTAAGCATTCTTGAGGAATGTAGAGAGTTCTGGAGCTGAGTTTTGACACCATAGGCGACTAAAGTAAAACTTTTCTTTTTGGTCTGTTGTACTGTCAGGGTTTCAGTAATGCAGAGTTTCTTCTCTGGTGAAATAAGGTAGAAGCTAAAGATTATCTTCTTGAGATATTATGTTAGTGTTTACTTGTTTGAGTTTATTTAGGGTGTTTTCTGCTTCCAAATGCAGGGATATCATTTGAGATACTGCTTTAACCAGTTCAGAAGAGAAAAGATTTTGTGACAGAGATTATTTTCTTGTGTGTTCCTTGCCTATTATTCTTTTAGAATTGTGATATAGGACAGCATGAAGTTAAAGCCTATTATCTTTACTGAAAGAAATAACCTCTGAGAGTGAATTCCCAGATCAAGCAATTTTGTCTCTTATTTGCCATATTGTTTTTAATGTTTTATAAGTCTCTAAATTTTAGTTAGCTTTTTTTTTTCCTACCTGAAACATCAGATGGAAGGGTTGAGCTGCACAGAACTATCCTCAATTTAATGATAGTTGATGTAAAATGCTCCTGTGCATTCCCTAGTGAACCACTTTGGATTTTTTGGCATAAGATGTGTTATAATTTCAAGGCAATTTTTAGGATTTTTCCTTAAAGCAGAACAGAATCAGTCTGGTGTGAAATGTGCCAGAGGTACACTCTTCAGACCTGTGATGTGAACTTGGTCTCTGTCCAGTCTGCCATAAATGGGACCCTGCTTTCTTCATTTAAGGTTTAATAATTTTGAAATTCTGTTCAAGAAATACTGACATTAATTAGCTTGAATCTCATAGTAAATTCAGTTGTAATAAACTTGGTGCCAAAGTAGAATAAAGGTGTGAATCACTTTCATGGGTGAACTACTATTCCAGTTCAGCTAATTGTCATTTTGGGGTCAGAATTCCCCCTCTGAGCTGACAATAAGTGACTGCCAAATTCTTCCCTTGACTGCTAAATACAAATAAGTAACAGGCTGTTTTTTTGTGGGGCCTGAAAGGGGAGGAATAATTTCCTTTGGATCTAATAGTTTTGTTAAGAATTTATTTAAAAAATTGTTCTGTGGCTAGATCTGCAATATAGTCCTCTTCATGTGATTTTATGCCTTAAAATGCCACACCAGCAGATTGTTCCCATCCTGTGGATCTGGTGTCTGTGCTCTCTCTCTGCTTTCCTGTCCCTAACTTTCCCTTGCCTGTGAGCATGAGCAGCTGTACGGCTGCTCCAAATGGAAGTGTCTTTTTAATGGGATTGAAGTTTGAGCTGTGTAGGATTGAGCCTTTAGCTCTGATTATCTAACTGCTAAAGCAGGTTTTAATTGTGATAGTGATTGCAAGGGCAGTCAAGTCCAGGTTATTAAAGATATTTTGGTCCCATGGATGATCTAAACCTTGGTGTTTTCAACTGTAACAGGGAGCTGTTCTATTTGGAAGAGTTACTGCATTATTTAGTGTTACAAGTTGATGTATTTTTTTCCCATTTCTTCTAGTGATAGTTTCTTTCAAGCTGTAATTTGTTTTTTATCTGTATTTAAGTACATATCCTAATATGACTGTAGACTTTAGAGTTATTACAGACTGTATTAGAGATGCAAAGAAATAATTTAAAAAACGTTCATGCAATTTTAGACACTCAGCTGGATAAAATAAACTATTTCTAATTCAATATTACCTTTATGTATCTGTGTCTCGGAGATGTGCCCAGGTATGTGGAT